GTTTAAAAAGCAATGATGAAAATGATAGCGATTTAACCAGATTTTCTGTACATTCCATAGAAAACCGTTTGATAAACGTTGCATATGTTTTTCTGTCGGTTATTTTAGGCACTGATTTTTGTGAAAGAGCCGTACTTCAACGAACCGGGATTCGAAAAGTATATAGGCACAGAAGACGGTCAACAACTGAGCAACTACTACAACCAGCAGTTGCGACAGGCCACTTTGCAGTACGCGATTTTGGACCAACTGAAGAAGCCTCCCGAATATTTCAAAGTAATTTAGTTAGTTGCGCGACGCTGCCAAATGGGATGATGATTGCGAAGGCAAATTCGACTCAGTGGTAGTGAGTTCGCCGTGCAGCCGATCGCCAGTAAGGCGTCAGTTCAACTGTCAATCAGTACTAATTTTAGGATGTGATTCGAAGGCAGTTCAGACTGAAGAAAAGCTCTATAATCGAACAGGCGCAGAGGTGCTTGAATGACACGTCCAACACCTGTGCCTCAGAGTCGAAACGCAAGAATAAATGCCAGCTGGCCGGCGTGGGCGACTGTCCGTCATTGCCAAACGTCAGACAGACTGTCGAGGTACTGCTCAAAGAACTGGACCGCCTTGAGTTTTGACTGGTTTCAAAACACATGGCAGAGGCTAGTTAGCCGGCAACTTGCTCAACGCAGACACCACACGTCGTTGCGTCATCGTAGTCGCACGATCGCAGCGTAGGTGGTACTTAAGGATGGCATGTACAACTGAACAACGAGGCAGTGTTTCAGTGAAATCAGTCTTCTCCGTACTATGCGGTTTCAAGGACGGATATGCAAATCAGTCGTTCGTCAGCCGTATTTCGAACACGGTTTAGGATGATCATGATCATTTCAAGTCGATCTGAAAGTCAAACAGTTTGAAAGCTGTCAAGTAGCAAAAACGAAAGATATACTGTGATTAACTGGTAACTGCTTAGCACTCAATAGCTTGAACTTTATTCTATTCTTGAAGAAATATGAATGAACATAAAATGGTGAATTAATCATTGCGTTTTGAACCACCTGAATGCTCTTTGTTTCTTATAAACTGTTGCCTCTTCCGGTTACAAATGACGTCTAAACATGTCATATCTATGACGTGATTGGATTACTGTGACACGGTGTGATTTAAGAATTTCAACAAGCTCTTTTATATTAAGGACATAAAGAAACCAGCCATTTCATTGTTTAAATCAACGTTTTATAATAGGTGAAAAATTAGTAGAACAGACCGCTAGAACACACTCAGTTGTATTTGATTAACGACTTCTTCTTGTGGGGCTTGCCTGCTTTGTACGGAATAGGCAGAGATGACCTGTAGAGACAAGTCCTACTGTCAGATGCGACGTGCAAACTTGTAATTCAGCCAAAGAAGATCTGTGCCATTATAGAAACCTCTTTAAGCTGCAATCCCGATACCTTAAGCGGATTTCGAGTTATTTAAATGAGCTATTGTTTTTACATGGATAGTCAGAGATGCATGTCAAGACTTTGCACCAGTTTCAACGGAACTGTTGAAAGCTCATAAAAGAATTAACCCCGGTATTCTGGTGGGTTTACTAGCAAACTGTTAGTTTCTGATACTGGCTTCCAAGAATAACCATCTCCGTTTGTTACTACTGATTAGCACGGCGTGGTCGTTTGTTGTTATCACCCTGAATCGTTTGCATTAATTAACAGTAGGTCACCGGCCAGTTTGTGATGCTCAGCATATTCAAAGATTTTTAATAATTTTGCTGCAAGTCATCGGAACTGCATTGAAGCAGTTCCTTGTCAAACGCAGAGCTTCCTCTACTTTGTTCTTCCGTGCTGTATGCTTGCTTCCTGGCTGTGCCGTGTTTCGGATCCCATATCCCTGGAGTGAAAAGTTTGTGCCTAACCAATTTAAGTATAACTGACAGAACCTCGTTATACGTCTGTTGAGGATGCCTGTGATAAGAATAGTTATTCCTCACATGACCCTATCATTTGATCATCATTGCAGGTCGAAAACCAGCATTGCCCTAGGCTAATCTATCATCGTTTATTCATTCTCGTTAATAAGGCCTACTCAGTGCCGTACAATAGCACTGAAGAAACAGAAACACAGGACAAGCCGATATTTGTGGTAAGTTTTTTATCGTCAAAATAGTGAACAACCTATCGAAATTAATGGAAACAAGGGTCACCCTTATATCACTGAGCCAGCCAGTTTCGAAGACCGCTTATCATTTTGGGTCGTGGAGGCAGACGCGTCAAAGAGTGCTTCCAACGTTCCCGATCCTGAGCCAGAGTTTGAGCTTCAGCAGAACACATCCTGTGTCTGGACAAGAATCCTTGCTCCAAGTAATTGCTGGTTATCCCGAGATCTTCACCCGGTCGGTTCGGCAAGTAGCGTTTCGTATTTCTGACAATTATTATTACTGACCCTCCTGAAAGGTTGCATGCGTTCGAAAGACAGG